TTGATGTTTCAGAAAGGAGTTGGGAGTTGTCTTATCTCAATTTTTTGCCATACTTTCCCCTGTATATTTGTCTTTAAAACTTGATAGAGAATGATACAAACATGTTTTCGACAAGTGTCTCCTACTATCGCGCCCGGCGCAACGGATCTTAGATTGTTCTGCTCGTACTGCGAAGGTGCTTCTAATAACGATGAGATTATGGGTATGCTCATATGCTGAGCAAAATAGGTGATGAAATCGCATAGAGCCAACTATCAAAGTCTACAAAACATGATATCGCTTGTAGCCCTATTTCACGAGTAGATATCCATCACGTTTTGACGTCTACTCACGTTAATAGCTGATCAACAAGTGACGTATTTGTATTAATTAGTCTATAACCGATGGCAATAATGAATTGTGTGCAAAACTAGTAAAACTTGCTTATAGCGTGTTTTATTGTATGCAAATGATCTTGTCTAAATAAAAGAGTTGTTAGCAAGTACAAAATGAATCTGTAGCGTACAAAAAAACAAAACAATATACAGCTCTGTGTGCCTGGCCTTGATGTATCCGTCAGAATTAAGTAATAAGTCGATATGGGACATTTTGCAATATCACTAAATAATCAGCTGTCATTCTAATGTATACTCGTGAAAAAAAGAATGGTCTTACGGTGATACACTATTCTCGACCTCAAAAGCTAGAGCGCATGCGCATCTCGCACACATTCAAACGCTAACGCCATGATCCCATGATGCTATTCGCCGTTGCCGTGTCGCACCTGATTCCCGAAGTCGTGATCACGTCACGCTTTTCCACGGTATTTGCTAACAGTGATGATAAGTGATTTTGAAATATCACTTACTAAATCACAGTTCGTGAAAGATCTGCCATCACTGCGTTGGATTTATTAAAAAAAAAATGCTTTGTTATTCTCATTCAAGACTGGTTAAAAATACTAATTCTAATTCAGTCCATACATACTCATGCATGATGTCAACTATGACTATTGGAACCAACATGTTCATGTCATTTTTAGTAGTAAGATCATCTGCTAATTGAACTTCGCTCTAATTCAAACACTCTAAATAGTTTCTATGGTTTCTTCCGACACTGATTAACGTATTCGATCTGAAGATACTGAATTAAGCATTTGAGATAGTAGCAGAACCAAACATTAACTCATTTCAAAGTCGATTTCTAAAATCATTTTTGCGTTCTGTTACTATCCCATAGATGGCGCTAGGATCTTTCAGATACCTATTTGAGTGTTGAAATATAGTATCTGGTAGGGTATATTCAGGTAGAGTATGTTAATGGTAGTACCATTATGAGTACTATTAGTAGATTAATACCAAAGAAAAAGTAAAGTCAAATCAGGCAACCATATTTTAGCGTTTTTCTGGGTTATTTTGGGTGTGGATTAAAACACTGAATTCCACAAAAAGAAATCCACTAATTTATTTAACTTGACTAGGTAGAAGATTTATGTACACCACTATTTATGTCTGACTAATTCTTATGTCGCGCCATTGACTGAACAACCCTCCACTCTGCTCTACCCTTCTCTACTCTGCTTCCGTCCCTATATAGTCCGCATCACAGTACTCGTTGATTCGAGATGAATCCGGTGAGCCACAAAGCGGCGGTCTAGCATCTTCGAGGTCACCTCGCGTCGACCTAGAAGGGAGTCACTGGCACGGTCCTCAACAGATGTCGCTACCGAAGGAGAGTTTCTGGCACGATCCCCAACAGAGATCGGCCATGACGCTCTGACGAGTAGTATAGTCAGGCGCAGCCGCCAACAGATGGTGCCAACACTACTATTCATTCTTGTTACAATATTATGCGAATAAATACATTGAGAACCAAATTTGTCTGGCGGGTTGAGTTCGGTATGTACGAGAGAGAAGAGCGAGAAGCGTGTATCAACACATGCTAGAAAGAGATAGAAGCGAAGCTCATCACCGCGTTGTCTAGCAACGATGACGCGGCAATCTGCTGCGTTGCCAATATGTTACACCAGTTCCTTGAATTAAGATGCATGTTGAAAATACACGTTAGTTTATTCTCTACGCCCAAGTAATATCTTTATTTTGATCGTTCACATTTTTGAATTGTGAACTGTGTCGAATCTGTTTAGGATCAATTCCAGATCGGTTCTAACGGCACTCCAATTTATGTCGAAATGAAATGTCAGGTTCGCCACAAATTCTGCAACACTGCATCATCGGTTAGCTTGGCAACACCGCATGTAGTACAACCCGAGGCAAGGTTTCCACCTCAATGGTCATAGATGAGCGATTACTCATCTAGCGCTCATTGGGGAGTGCCGTCCTACTTCGAAATGGTTTTCACCTGCGTTCACGCAGCAGTGGTAATTTGTATTGGGCAATGGTATTTGTTACATTTTCCGAAGGCCCGCTGTCGCAAAATGTAACAATAACTCAAGATGTGTTGATTTTACCACCGTCGGTGGGAATCAAAGATAATCATGAAATAAATTAAAACATTAAGTCGCACCAAAATTGAAATAAATTATTCTGATCAAAATGAAAACAAAATATTAAATCAAATGTTCGAACAGGCCTCCTTCTTGGGTTTGACAGTAACCTAACCTATTGTGGAAGCCTGTGCGAACATTTTCTGGTGTAACATATTGTCAACGCGACATATTGCACGACCTTCTGCGTCACCGTTGCTAGGCAATGTGGTGATGACCTTCGCTCTTCAGCCGGCTTCATCTCTTTCTAGCGCTTCTCTTTCGTACACATTGAACTCAAGCCGTCAGACAAATCTGGTTTTCCTTGTATATTGATAATACGTCAAAATGACCTGATTCTAGAATCTTGCATCTACCTGACCCCTGAATAATAACATCGATTTTAGTTCATCCTGAAACGAGCACCTGCGGCTTGTTTTTCAATAAGGGTATCCTTTCTTTCATGGATGGTGAAAATAAGTTCTATTACTTTCCCCTTGCGTGTTATTCCGGAAATCCGAAAAGGGGAATTTGATATATCGTAACTATCACTAATTCATACTAAATTAGTTCAGAAATAATTAATAAGGAAACTTATTAACAGTACAGTGTTGATACTACGAGGTCTGCAAAAAGTGTGGCGTGATTGCCAAGCTTCGCCTCCTCACCACCACTACTACTAGTCAGAGATCTGATGCAGGGTTCCACTTTTTTTTACTGGAACTCTTTCTTGATTACCAATTGATTGCATACTTTACATAAAATTTACCAAACATTACGAAGAGGGTACATGACATGCTATAGTTTAGAAAGATCTGCATCCATACTTCGTTCGAAAACGCTCAGACGCAAAATGGGGAATCTCGAGGATACAGTCTGTGAGCTATTGAATGTTGATCATTATACTATATCTATTATATTATCTAGGCTTTAGTAGATAAATATAAACAGTCATATCTGTGGATTGATTAGATCTCAGACTAGAAAATGTTATATCCACCGATTTTGCTACTCAAACTGATTATATGAGATTCTAGAAAATTATAGTGCATTTCAACTAAAATTAGATTCGAATATTAAAAAAATGTCCTAGAGGACATTATTGAGACAGTAAAAATTAAAAAAAAATATATAAATTTATTAGCAGACACGGAAAAACTGTCTATTTGTCTACAAGAATGAGAAAAACCAATGATGACGGATGGAAAACTCCCAAAGAAAGACGAAATTTCCGAATAAAAATGTCATAAATATTTCGAAAAGAACACAATTATAGAGCATCATACCGATGCATTGCTGAAAAAAGCGCCGCAAATGATCAACAAATTAACGCATCCTCCATTGAACAGATGGCGCTGGTTAGGTTAAAAACTAGGCAGCTACAATTTTACGTTGGTTACTATAACAGCGCGCGAGCAGCTTTTCACACTCGAAAGGGGCAACTTCAATCCATTCACGAATCATCTTGGGTCAACAGCATACTATATCAATCTTGTTTGCCTAGCAGTAAGCAGTAAAACATATTTTTCAAGAAGTTGTAGCGATAAACTATTAGTAAGTATTGGATCTACTTGAAATGCTTAATTGTTCACCATACTTTCACTACTTCCATGGTCAATCGCAAGAAGTCGCATACGTCATTTATTATAATTTGTGATTACTATCAAATAAATACATGTTATTAAAAACTAGAACTTTCATCCATATCAACATGCTATACTTTGTTTTTTATATTATTTTTTCATGTAAGTGATAGATAATTATATAAAAAACTAGAACTTTCATCCATATCAACATGCTATACTTTGTTTTTTATATTATTTTTTCATGTAAGTGATAGATAATTATATAAAAAACAAACATGTTGAATGCGAAATATAAGACTGCATTTATTATAGTTAACGTTTAATAAACTCTTTAAAAGATCAAGTTTAGTGTATATAAGGTGCAGATGATATTTTACGAACGATGTAGAAATAAAACAAGAGTGCAGACAGTTGTTTCACATTATATCATAATTTCCTGTGTATTCCACAACACCCTGAAAATATGTGATCGCCGCTGAGAACTCAATTTGAGCCTTTATAATCCTCTATGTTACGCCAATGGCAGGAAACGAAAACGTCTACGTCACTACCGATCGTTAATTTGGCAATGTGCAAATAGCCAATCAGGTTCAAATACTTGTATCACGCCACGTGACGTAACAATTTTGTATATGTTCAAAATATAAAATAGGTAAATATAACCAAAACAAATGCAGTATATAAATCAATAAAAAATTAGCCCTAAAATAAAAATGGGGGGCACCTATGGGCTTGGCAGTTTCCGTTTACCTATTAATCAATAAAATGTATGTTGAGGTGATTAAGGATTCATTGCCAGTTTAATTAATTGTATTTTCTGTAAGTATAATTATTGAAATATTTACAATGAAAGAAGTGTTTATTTCTTACGGTATCGGGTACATGACCTACATAACCTAGAAAATCAAGGCTCTGACAGACGTACAAAACAACACGAAAAATGCACTTACCTTTACAATAAGAAAAACACCGATCACAGCTTCAGTTAAATAATGCTAGTAAGTAAGAACAATCACAAATAAGATAAGGAGTACTTAAGTACACAAAAACGTAAAGCACATTTTTAGGCGCAGTAGGCTCTGACAGAATTAACGGTTAACTATCGAAAATAGGTAAACGCGGCCGCTGCGCTAATACAAACAAAAACGGTAATCCGTTAATACGATACACAGGAAATTCGAAGCATGTAGCTGTCGACCGGTGCCCCGTGTATGTGTTCTAAGTTTGGTACTAAACCTAAACGTCAGAATTTTCGCGTGGAAATGGGAGAAACGGAAAACATGTTTCACGAATTCCACTACCGCACCACTACTCGATTCATTCATGCACGTACGCGCATGCAGTGGAATTGGGGTCGCGGATCGAGCACGCGTTCTATCAGAAAATGAATTTTTGATGGTTGTGGACGTTTGTCGTCGATACGGGCTTGGTTTAATCGACTTGGATTCGGCAATAAATTTAAACGACATCAATAAAACATTTATAACCGTATTATACAGTTTTTCTCTTTTTACCAGAATTGTGTACCTAATTATTAGAATGGTAGGTTAGTAAGAACTAATACTATGCAATGCACAGTGGAGGGTCTAAGGCCTCCTAGGCCCGAAGCAAAAAAAAAACTCATTAGTAGAGGGCCCTTATATAAGAGCCGATAGTATGGCTAAGGTGTCCCATGTAGGAACCGCAACGAACGATTTCACAAAAACTTGACCTGAAATAATTATGCAAATTTGGGTTTTTGGTATAACTGACACTTGGAGGCAATTCGGCTAAACTATTTTCAAATGGTCTCCGTGTTTTACCATAATTTCCTGTATACACCCTGGATTCTAAATACATTTATTGTATATATTTGTATGTAGGTATCATTCTATACCTAACCGTTTTTGAGATATCTCGAATTTTGCGTAAAAAAATACAAGAGGAAGACAATACATTATTATAAAGCTTTTTACTCATATTTTTGTAATGTATGTCCAGGGCCGTATGCTCCGCTGTTCGATTTTCGTCCGCCGGCGCGCATGAGGTCACGCGGAGAGTGATTGTCATTTGGGTTGATATGGATAACGTGCATATTTTCATCTACAGGTCAAACGACTTAACGGATTTGCACATATGAGGTGTGGCTGGATTCGTCTTAGCGGTGCGAGTGACACTAGCTACATTGAAATTTTATAAAAAACAAAATGGTGGATTTTAATAAAAGATTTCAACCCTGTAATTCCTATTTCACAGGCTATAGCTTAAACGGCTTCTTGCTCCACAATAGAGCGTATCGTCTCTCTGTAAAAACAAGATAGCTCCATTTTTCTACATTACCTACATTTTAGTATGTTCTGTGGAGCAGGATTAACATGTTCATGTCATAATACTGTACTACATTTATTCTTATTCCACAGAACATCCTAAGTACATGCAAATGTGAAAATGTACGCAACTCGAAAAGTAGAAAAGTGGAGTTATCTTCTTTTTGCAGTAAGGTGGTGGTATAACAATAAATGGAAATGACTTCGTCTAAGCAACAATTTTTTTCCATTTTTACGATTTTTCTGGTCTTTCAAACTTCTATGCAGTTGTTTGATCCGGAAGAACATCCTTGATCTGAAAAACAGTTTTTTAGCTTTTTTCAGGGCAGTCAATGTTGCTGCTCTTCAACAGAAGTTCACCTACAAAATTTTGCTTTTTTGTCACTATTCGATCCCCATTGAATGTAGTGAATACCTTGTTCAGCTTCTCAATTTGATTCATGAAAGTTGAGGAAGGTTTTGATAATCCACCCTCACTAAGATGGTCTATCCATGAATAAGTTTCATTTGAGGAACTTTTCAACTTCTGATCCTGCAATTTATTGCAAACAAAGCCGGCCAAATTTTCCAGCCCGTCATACTCGAGCTCATCTATTTCTTCCACTAAAACTTGCTAGGTATAGTCAGCTGATACTTCAGGTGCATTCAGTTTATTCTCGTGATGCGGTTAGTGGAATGTCTGGAGTATCCTCTGACTCTACGCTGCAATAGGTACTCTCAGTATGCGCCTTCGTTTCACCCCAACATATATGACCTTATTCTGTACTTAAACTCTAGAGGACTTGTATGGTCATGAAGACCATCTTTTGCCCTAATTACTCCGAAAAAGTTTTCTATCACATCTTGATTAAGACGTCTTGTTAACAGGTATTGGACGCTGAAGCGTCGTTTCAGATCCTCTAGAGCATTTTCTAGCAATCCCTAGCGCTGTTTACATTGACTTTTTGTCTTATCTTTTTGTGAGGTGTAGCAATTTTTTTGCTAAAGTTTGGGTCTTGAGGAAAACTGTGGATGAAGTTGCAAAGATTCCGTTTAGATTGATTGTCGGAATTACATCCCACAACAGCACACCGCATTTTTATCAATTTATCAATCACAAAGGGTATATCAGGTATGTATAACTAGTACAACAAGTCACAAAACCACAAAAAAATACCAACAAATCGCACGATATAGTATTAACCACTATACATATGAACTGCAGTAACGTTACGACAATCCTGCCGCTGGTAACCACGAGCCGATAACTCTCCGGGTGACGTCACGAAGCTCCGCCCACATGCGCAATATCCTATCTTCAGTGTATGTGTATCGTGATGTGTGTCATATAGAGGGTGACCTACTTTAGTAGATTTCATTCCGCATTTGGGCAACAAATCATGCAGGGTGATTGTAAAAAGAGAATGCAAAATGGATTTAGAAAACCCAAAAGTTCAATTTTTTAGATTGGAAACCACCTTTTTAGCATTAAAAATCAGGTCAATTCTGTGAAAAGTTGTTTGCTTCACGAATTATAGTAGTTTCCAAGGTAATATATGCTTGAATGCTCCATATTTTATCCTTATATAGTAGTTCGCCCTATTTTTGTTATGGCCAACTATAATTACTTTAACCAATCAATATTTCCATATATCCCGAAAAATATTAATTTGCGAGGTAGACAACCTTAAACAAAATTAACCTCTTGTAGTTAATGCTTAATTCGATAAAATTATAAAAGCGATAGTTCATTTGAAAAAGCATACTTTTGTCTTTTCCAAAATCTAATTTTCAATCTTTTATTTTTGACCACTCCGTATAATTTGTTATTCAAATTCGAAACACAATCTATTAAAGTAGTCCCTCTACTATGAGAAAATCGTTAAAAATCACGCAGCTAAGGCAAAAATACAAGAAAAAATTGTTATAGGACATTGGCCTATCATTTTTACGCAACATTTGAGAAACGTGTAATGTATATGAAAATATTTTACCCGAATGGCTACTGCCAGCACCAAAAACTCAGTTCTACATGAGACACACTATACAAATATATCGTTTATTCTATCCGACGAATTCGACTACTCCTATTCGAAGCGTGTTTACCAAATAAACTTGCGAAATTAATTTCAGCATACTATATCCGTTAATTCACGCGACGACATCGACTGGTTTAACATTTTTGCTTAATGAACCTGCCATGTTAATATCACAAAACGATATCTTTTAGTCTACCCGACATCAACTACTTTTGACCTCCATTTGACCTTTAGTGCCGGCATGAAAAAAAGGAATTTCATTTAAAAAATTGAAATTGACCTTGAAATGACTTTGAAAGTGAGGAAGGTCAAATCCAAGATCACCGTTCACTCCCTCGTCAAAATTTACTGAATACCTGACCTTGATAGCTGTTTTCATTATTAATCCTGTGCGATTTATAGAGGTTTTCCTAGCAGCACATATTTGACCTTTAGATGGCACCCTGACTTTGGACTTCAATTCGTATTTGTATGTAACATTTTCAGCTCTTTCGATTGCAGGCATCAAAAATTGGGATTTTCATAAAAAAAAATACAGTTGACTTTGAAGTAACCCTGAAGGTGGAGGCCATTTCAAATCTAAGGTCAGCGTTCAGTTCGTTAAAGTCACCAAAGATCTGACCTTGATAGTTATTTTCATCACTCATCCTGTGAGACTTATAAAGGTCTTCCTAGGAGCACACATTTGATCTTCATTTGACCTTTAGTAGTCATCCTGCCTTTTAATTGCGGTCAACGTAAAATTTTCAGTTCCTTCGATTGCCGGTATCAAAAATAGGTGTTTCTATCTAGAAAATATTAACTTGACCATGAATTAACCTTGAAGGTAAAGGTCAAATTCAAGGTCACTGTTGAATTCCTTGCTAAAAGTTACTGAAGACCTGCTCTTGATCTTTTCCAAAAATACCTTACCCGAGAAAATCAGAGACGTTCCGGGACTTTTGTGACACACTGTATACTGATGGGTAAACAAGTAGCAGTGCCAGAAGACAAAAGCAGGTCGAGGAAACAAACATCCGTAGTTCTTTTTTGTCGATTTTGAATCGAGAATGATGTTATAATGAGACTTTGAATATGCAAAGGAATATTTTTCATTTTACGCACTGCCTCACGCTTTGTTAATTGCTTTACGTAATTATTAGTTTAATATTTAATGAAATATGTATCCTTCCTGGTAGGAAAATTCCGGCAAATTATTGTTTGTGAAATCAACATAAACGCATTAGTGTCTTAATATAAAATACGAATGAAACCTTTTTGGAATTGAGATGTACCGTGGTATGTCGTCAGAATTGTCATTCGTACTTGCAAAAGCCCATCGTAGTAGGCGAAAGGTTGTGCCAGTAAATACTAATTCAAACATACATGATTTAATATACGGTCAGACAGAGACGGGGAATACCATGGTACTACTATATGGATAAAAAACTGATACTACGCTATCTTTACAAATTTAATTTGCTTAAATGCGACATATTCGAAAGCACCTATATATGGTAAAACTATGGGTTTATGTTTTTCACTATTTAGCATAGAGACAGCGGTTGACCTGAAACAGAGGGAAAAAAATCCAAAGTTTAGACTTGTGGTTTAGACCTTTCAATGTCACCTACCAAACGGCCAGAAACGGTTATTTCATATTCAATGACTTCGTAATTATTATCTAAATCGCCGACGGCCCGCAGGTCCGAAAGGGTCCGGAGACTGGCTGTTAGAGAAGAATCATCGATCAGTCGAACAGCCCTCCTCTGGACAGCATCGAGTATCAATAATGTAGTCGGAGCGGCAGCACACCAAACGTGGCTAGGCCTTATCTGGGCCTTGTGTAGAGTGAGGAGGTCATGTGGAGAAAAGTACTTCTTAGCCCTGAACAAGCCTATCTTTTTCCCAGCAGCTGCTGCGGTTGACGAGATGTGTTCGTGCCAAGTCGAGTACATGACTTAACGCATAAAAGTTGTATAGTACCAGTACACGTTACTAGGCGAAACAGTCGTATCTACAACAGCACTGTCACTTATAACTCATATACCATTTGTGCATGATAAGATCATTGCTTTAGGGGAGTTTACACTAGCATCTACCGTTTGCGTAAGTAGGAGACGCAAGTTGATGCAGAGTGTACTTGCATTCAAGTTAAGCCTTACACTACACACCTACCTTTGCAAGGGAAACTGGCTTAAAGTCCAGACAGTGCAGTTCTTCATCACGACCAAACACTCTCGTTACTTGTTTACTAGTAGTAGTGGTCTGCAAGCAACAGATTCGCAAAGGAAAGTACAGCTAGCGCGCAGGTGGAGCTTTCGCGAAAGTTGTTAGTTGCGCAAGTAGTTTCTGTCAAAACAGAATTTAAGGAGAGTTTACACTAGCATGTAGTGCTTGCCTAAGTTTTATTTGTATCCAACTGGCAGAAAAACTTGCAAATGTGAACACTTAAATGCACGATAGTTTAACTTAACTTTCCTGTGTAAACCTGTTGGTTGCAGACAACTACTACTTGTAAACAATTAATGAGTGTTTGGTCGCGATGAAGAACTGCACTGACTGGACTTTAAGCAAGTTTCCCTTGGGTAGTGTAAACCTTAACTTGAGGTACAGTATGCATCAACTTGCGTGTCCTACTTACGCTAGTGCTACATGCTAGTGTAAACTCCCCTTTATTTGATAAAGCAACAAATGCATGCAAGTCCGCGTTGCAAGTTAAACTTTTAGTGTTTACATGTGCAAGCTTTTCTGCAAGGTGGATGCAAATAAAACTTAGGCAAGCGCTACATGCTAGTGTAAACTCCCCTTAAACGTATTCTACCTGAAGATCGCCAACCTAATACCACAGCTTAAATAACAATCAGCTACGAAATGAAACTCTCCTGTCAGTGTCAAAAACGGACGCCATTCCGGCGGAGAAAGTCGAATGTAAATTTTCCCAGTACAAATATGAAACAGTTTTCAGTGTTCAGCAGCACTCGGTACACTTATCGTATAGAAATATTATCATTTTAAGATTGTAAAGAATATCTGCATCATATCTGCGAGGCAACACCGGCTGCTGCTGAGCACTAAAACATCTTTCATCGTTGTACTGGGGGAATTTACATTCGATTTTCTCCGCCGAAATGGCGGCCAATTTCGACACTGACAGGAGACTTTCATAGCTGATTGTTATCTGAGCTATGATAATACGATGCACGTCTGAGAAATTATTCGAGATAAAATGAGATACCGTCGCGTCATCTATGAGAATTTGTCACAGCCGTCTTTCTCCTCTCCGCAATAATTAGAAGTCTGCTTTGAGAAGGTTAGTGTCTCGTAGATGGCGCTATCGCTATATGCTCATATATAGTTCGCTTCAGCGGCATCTATGAGACACTAACTTTTGCATTGTAGATTTCAAATTATTCCCGAGAAAGATATCTTTGAGAAATTCTCATAGATAAGGCCATGGTATCGTGATTCGCCCAGAATAAGTTTTTGGACGCCGAAATATGAATCAAATCTAAGCGGATAACCAAAATTTCTGTGTTATGTGCCGCGGTTATAATATGGTTCAAAATGACACACTGGTTGATGACGTCAGTTACACGAATCGCTTGAACGCGTTGGTTTTAACCACGGTTTTGTTGCAAGTTGTTAAAAGCGCGTACATAATCTCTGATTAGTTGTATTATCACTTAATAGTCGGTGCTTTTTCGTCTACAACGGTGTATGGAAACTTTAAATAAGAAACCTTTCATAATATTCATGGGAGAAATGTTTTTTTTCAGAAAAAAATGTTTAATGATGGAACCATGGTTTTGTAGCTATGATAACTTTCAATTCTCTAAAGTTTTCCGCATGTCAAAGAAAACATTTATTGATTTAGCAGAAATGATGAAAAAGCGATGAAAAAAGATATTAGCAAAACTGTATACAGTTTATATGGCCATATTTTAATATTCTTGTGGTATATGGCTACACAGGATACTTTGTTAAGCATAGGAACTAGATTTAAAGTGTTCCCAACAACAGTAATGAGTATAACTAATAAGATGCTCCACTTTATGCTAACACTGAAGTCAGCCTGTATCAAGTTTCCCAAAAATGAAGCTGCATTATACTAACAATATCCAATACCCGGCAAAATTCTAACTTGTCACATTCCAAATAACAACCAGAAATATAAAACTACTCCAGAGTTGGGTAAATACCACAATTTTGCGGTGATAACTATGACACATAACAGCTGATTCATGACCTCACGGATCTTATAACCAAACTGATAACCACACTCGCTTGAACGGATCGGTAAACACCAACCCAAAATGGTAAATATATATAAAATAATAATACCATTTTCATTTGGTTATCCGCTTGAATTTGATTATAGTATTAGGTTGGCTATATTCAGATAGAATAAGTTAACCAATGATACGGCAAATAAAAATGATTTTGAGAAAACTTTTTTTGCTCAAAAACTTTATCAATGAGCATAGAGAATGCTAGTGATTTACTATAGGCATGAAAAACCAAATATGCCAGAAAATTGCAGCTAATTCCTCTGTGCTTAGCACGGCAGAACAGTATAGGAAGCAATTTGTTACTGACAACAATCTATTGGCTGCATATGCAACATATTTTAAAACTCGTCTGTAGAAAGTAGTTGGTTCTAAACAACATTTAAACACGTCTCCCCATTCCACTGTTTATAGCTGAAACATTTATTTAGGCAATTTCCTTCCAGTGATTAATTTTGTAATGTTTTATGATTCAATTCATTGCATTATTTGTCAGAGAAAATGGATTTTCTACAGGGTGGCCGACAAGTAACTGACTGGTTTGTAACTTGAATATTTATTAAATGAAATAAAATACTTCCATTTTTTTCAAAAATAATATCAGACAAATGTCCGCCTCTAGAATCCACGCCAACCTGAGCCCTCTTGATTACATTTTGCATCACTAATTGGTAGGTTTCGAGAGGAATATTTTCTATCGCTTCCGTAATATTGTTCTTCAGCTGCTCTACAGTATTTGGTTTGTTCGCAAAAGATCCATTGTTTCCCTATCTGTGTGACATGTTGCTCCGTCCACATGTTTTGCAGGTTAAATTGTTGGATTTGAGGAGCCAGAAAGTTTTGCACCATTCACGGTAGCGCTCGCCAGTGACAGTAAGAGAATTACCTGCAGCGTCTTCAAAGGATGACACCTCCATACCAAACACCGCACCAAACTGTGACTCGACGAGGATGTAGTGGCCGTTGATGGATGACACGCGGGTTCTTTCATGCCCAAATACGATGCTTATTAACACATCCGTTCATATTGAAGTGGGTTTCATCGCTCATTGTCAGTTGTTCGTAAAAATCGTTATTTTGGGTATTAAGCTGCAATATTGCCTGACTGTATTGTCGGCGACTTTCATGGTCACTAGGCTGTAGTTCTTGGATTAACTGAATTTTGTATGGCCGCAAATGCAAGTTTTTAAAATAGTGCATACTAACGTGCGACGAATAACCAGTTCTTGAGAAAGACGTCTGGTAGGCGTCTCAGTGCGCTCTACTACACTTCAACGAACTCTCTCGATATTTTCCGGAGTACGAACAGTTCGAACACGGCCCGATCTTGGCAAGTCTTTAACTTCACCGGTTTGTTCAAATTTCCGCACCAACTGACGAATGGTGTTGCCACTGGACACATTATTTCGATTAAAATTTTGTCATAGCTTCCGAATCGTTGCAACAATCGACTCATTATTTAAATAAAACGTTTTAACAATACGCATGTGCTTTAAACGACTACTACGACACCACCAACTGAAATGCGCGCAATTTAAATCAGTCTGTTATATATTGGCCACCTTGTATAACGGATTTGAGCTTATCAAATGTTCAGTTACGAGAAATAAACATTTTCAAAACACTCTATTAATTTTATTACGCAAAATGATTCTCGAGGTCATTTGAATCAAGCAATATATAAAACAGTATGTAAAATTTATTTATGAAAAAATATACAACAAACTTTCTTTAAAACCGTTTTACAAACAATACAGAAAAATGCATTTACGAAACTGATACTGACGACGAGAAGATTTGTTTCATTATTTGAGGTAATTCGCTGGTATCGTTGCAGATAAAAGCTCGTCCTGTTGGTAATCGCTGTAATAATCTGGAATTTAAATAGTTACAAATTATAATTAGTCCTAATCATCATACACGAGATGCTTAAACGGGTAAAGAATAAAAAACGCAAAAATATATAGATCAAATGTCACATGGAGGAAATGTAGATTTAGAATTTTTAACATTTTCTGGTTTTTTTTTATTTACTTAGGTGCCTCAGAAACTGTTTTATTGAATCACGAATATCTTTCGCTTTTTCATATATCTCAGCCACATTACAAGATTTTTTGGTTTTGTTTGCGCCAAATTGAAGATCTTCAAAGCGCGCATAAAACATTTTTCAAAATTTTCTGCCTGGAAACTCTTTTAGGCTCTATAAATTTATCTTTTTTTACTAAAATCTATTGACCCAGGTTATAATGAAAATACAGGGTTTGTCCGGAAAGTAATAGGACTCTTTTTCTTCCGCCATGACTGTACTTCGGAGGGTGCGCGCACCAACTGGATTCGGTAGAGGGCGTTCCTAGCTAACGAATGCGCGGCTGGTCAGTTGTCTCCGAGCACTTGGAGCGTCAGGACAGGCATTTTCGCGCGACGTGTTTCTGTGAGTGGTGCAAGCCGAAAATGCAGCGTTCGTTAGAGCAGAGGTACGCGATTAAATTCTGTGTGAAACTCGGTAAATCTGCGACAGAGACGTTTGATATGATCAAGCAGGCTTACCCAGGTGTTGCTTTAGCAAGAAGTGGTGTGTTTCGGTGGCACCAGACCTTTTTGGAGGGCCGGGAAGAGGTCGCTGATGAAAACCGTGCTGGAAGACCTTCGACTTCGACAAACACCGATAATGTGACTCGTGTGCGCAAAGTTTTGAACTCAGACCGTCGACTAAGTATTCGTTTAATTGCCCAGATGTTAAATTTACCAAAATCTGTGGTTCATGACATTGTGATACAGCATTTGAACATGCGCAAGGTGTGCGCGAAGATGGTCCCAAAAGTGCTCACTGACGACCAGAAATTGCGGCGAGTGGAAGTGTGCCAAGAAAATTTGAACATGTGTGAAAGTAACCCCCAATTTTTGAATAACGTAATCCCTGGTGACGAGTCGTGAATCGTTGAGTTTGATCCCGAGACAAAGAGGCAAACTTCCGAGTGGCACACGACGGCGTCTCCTCGCCCAAAAAAGGGAAAAATAAGCAAATCCAAAGTGAAAACGATGCTCATTGTCTTTTTTGACATCAAAGGCATCGTCCAACATGAATTTGTTCCTCCTGGACAAACCGTGAACGCCAAGTTTTACGTGGAAGTGCTCAGGAGACTCAAACGAAGGGTCAGTCGGGTCCCACAAGACATCGCAGCCGACTGGAAGTTGCACCACAACAACGCCCCGGCTCACACCGCCGTTCTTTTGAACAGCTACCTGACCAAGGCCGGCATCCCAACGCTTCCGCAGCAGCCCTACAGCCCAGATGTGCCCCCCCGGACTTTTTTTTGTTTCCTCGCCTGAAAAGGCCGATGAAAGGCAAGCATTTTGAGACGACAGAGGTTATCCAAGCAGCATGCACCGCGGCTCTCAAGGCTATTCCGAAGAATGCCTTCCGTGACGCCTTCATTGCTTGGAAATCGTGCTGGCAGCGCTGCATCGACGCAGAAGAAGCCTATTTTGAAAGTTTTTAAAGAATTGTAACGATTGGCTCAAGAAAATTTTTTAAATCGACTCAGTCCTATTACTTTCCGGACAAACCCTGTATATGTCTTTTGTAGATATACCTTCATAATTTCAGAGAGGGTGATATGATAGGGAGTCAAAATTGAAAATCTATTTTTTTAAAATTTTGGATATTTTTTTAGGACTTTCAATTTTTGTTGATTTTTCAATTTTTCCTGAAAAATATAGTTTTCAAATAATTTTTGGAATCGGAATATTTTGGATCAACAGGTAAAAACAATGTTTACTGAAAAATAAAGGTAAATTAAATAAAATGACTTTAATGGTTCATCTTGAATCTTTCCAATTCAAAAGTTATGTTATAAATTTTTTGAAAAAATGTGTTTCATTCGAGCTTCGAAGACCTTCACTTTGGCGCAAGCGAAAATAAAAAATCTTGTAATGCGTCTGAGATATTTGAAAAGAAAACGACAAATCTTCGTGATCAGTTTCTGAAGCCAAAAAAAAAAAGGGAAAAAGCAGGCCTTTCAGATGAGCAGAACCTCAATTTGTTTTTTGTAGTGACCTCATTTCATTGGACTCTACCGTGAACAGTGTCAATAAGTATGATGAAACAAAAAATTGAAACATACTACTTATGTCATTATATCGTTCCATTATCTTACCTTTCCGCTTGATCTCCTAAACTTCCAATAAAGACGACATAAGCACTGACATTCGGTTTGCAAGACATCGCCTGCGCGAGTTCCTGCGGCGGAATCCCGTATCTTTGTAGATTAGCGTCAGATAATACCACACAAATAGCTTCATCACAATCTTCTTCTGCTAGAGTTGAAACTGCCCATTCGGTGGATTCCAACGTGTGGTCTCCTGTCCAACAATATTGAGAGTGTGCGTGCATTTTCTAAAAAAGAAAACAGGAAAAAATATAGTCAGGCTACTTGACTCAGTACCGAAACTATGCATTGATTGAAGACTATAATTATGTTCATTTTCAAAACAAAAAGCTAATGATAGGTGACTTTTCACAAAAAATAAAAAATGGAGTCAAGTAGCTGACTCAGTGTTTGCCACTCATTAATGTCTATTTAAAATTTTATACTCAAGTATATCTTTTTAATTATGCCCTTAAAAGTTGGAATTTTTAGAATTTTTTCAATATCTTGGGTTCTCGAAGAACCACTTTCAACTATGTGAAAAAGTTTGGGGACGATTTGGAGTCCCACACCCGACCATTGCACCGATTTTCTAAACCAACGAATCTTTTTCATTTTTGGCACTGTACAAATTTGGTTGATGTTCGACCGAGTTATAGAAGAAGCGTATTGACGACAAAGACAGAGTCACAGACCGCAAACTTCGATTTCGAAGTTACAAAGCTTGCTCGCAAAATCGAGGTGGGCATTTTAAAATTTGATATTTACACATAGTCACTAAGATATAAGTAAATCCTTGAGCCCCCTAAAATGCTGCCTGTACACCCAAATATGACAGAACGATCAAAAAGAGTGATCCGCTTTTGTATCATAAAACAACCAAAGAAACAGTGCACTTATTATGCTTGTGAAAAGAAATCAAAACTCCTCTGTGAACCCGGATCCAATGTTTTTCTTCCATTACTTACTCTTATCACTTCCAATCTCTCCTTATTATTCTTTGGCGGTTTGTCTCGTTCAACAAACATAATGTTATACTCCTCCCCTGAGTGCCCGATAATATCGTACTTAATTTTATCTTCAAAACCTTCAAATGATTCCATGACAAGCACGGCAGCTTCCAGTTCCTTGTCAAGCCTTCCATCGTACGAATTAAATCGGTACATGCTGCCGGACACATCCACCACAACACGGAAGAGCTTTGGTTTTATTTGGGGGGTGCCCAATTCAGGCTCTTGTTCTGCCCTGCGACGGAATATCGTCTTTTCTCCGAGTATTCCTGAAAATTTATATTTACATATACTCAGAAATGGTGGCGGAAGACTGCAGAAGTAAAGATTGGGAATATAGATGGGGAAAATTGTTAATGAAATTATGTATATATACTGTTCAACTATTTTTTTTATAGAAAATGAAAACATAAGTTCAAAGTTACAAATTCTACAAAATAAAGCTATGAGAATCATTTTTAATAAAAACAAATACGCTAAGATCAACTCTGTTAGAAGAACGGCAGTGACTGAATGTAAAAAATATTCTATGTTATTTAGAATACTCATTGTCATATTCAAATTAAAAAATCATTCATTCCCAGCCGAAAACTTCACAAAAATTCAATAGTCATTACCATAAACTAGAAGCAGTATAGATTTTCATCTGCAAAATTGTAATAGTAGAATAACTAGCAAACCTGTATCTTAAAAGGGAGTCTCTGAATTAAATAAATTGAATAATAATATTAAACATTGTCTGGATTTAAAAATGTTTAAAAATGACTTTATGAATACCCAAAATGCATAGCGATGCAATTTTAATAGACAAGAACTTAAATTACGGAAAACTGATTCAAAAAAATGTGTAAAATAATAATTATACATAATCGACATTGTGGCATTGATGCTAAATACATTTTCAATAAACCAAAAAGTGAAAGCGAGGCCTGGATAGCCGAGAGGTTAGCGCGTCGATCCGAGGCTCGCGGGTTCGAATCTTCGCCTCAGAAGTTAATTCCGAGCCATGGATGTTGTGTTGTGGGTATGTCTGTATCACGCACCAGATCGATGCAAGATCAAAATAGGTACATCGCGTCGCTGGAGCGGTTCATTCGATATACAGTAGATAGCTTGTGAAGTAGTACAGTGTTGGTACTACGCGGTCGGCAAAAAGGGTCAATTTGGTTGCCAGGCTTTGTCTCCTGTCCACCACTACTAACTTCTACCTAGTGACAAACATGATGAGGTGTATCAACTTAAGCTAGCTGTACTTGGTTCAAAGCTATTAGCGTTTGAGAAAGGTGGGATAAAGAGGGCATTCTTCCCATCATATGCCACACATGTACAATGGACGAAAGAGAGCTAGGAGCCTATAGTAGCTCTAGCAATATGGGGACAAGCTTTATCTTGTTAGAAAACAGGGGTTTCAAGCGTTTGAAGGAATGGTAAATAATGGGGTTCCAGTATTTCCTAGGTATACAGTCATACCTCCTCTGATGTGACTTAATTTAATGGGGCCCCAAACCATAACTCAGCTTGTACGTGACATTCAACTGAAAACTTTACATTACGTCTTACTCCGCATGCATGATGAACAGGCACAGTCAGAAGCTGCCGCAGAGAAAAACATAATGTAAAGCTTTTAAGGGAACTTTACGTGCACCATACTAAAATAGTTATGGTTTGAGGCGCTAATAAGGTTGTCGCTAATTTTCACCAAAAGAGGTACGACGGCACAACGGTATCTTCAGAAAATACTTTAACCCCATCTTCTTCCATTTTTCCAAATGCTAGAGAATCGTTTTTTCCAACAAGAGCGTCCTCATATTACTAGACCTACAGCGGACTACTCAATTTCCTTTCTTGGACTCTCCAGACCCCGGGCCATTCGCCATGTGTGGGCCACAATGGAAAGAAAAGTGACATCTTTATCTCATCCTCGACCAATTCTAGTAGCTCTTCGGAACCAAATACAAGGTATCTCATCCCAAGTACCAGCCTCAAGGCATAAATTACCTCATCAGGAGTATTCCCTGATGACTGGTCGAACGTATACGGCATTAAGGTGGCCCAGTACGGAATGCATTCACTTCAAAACTTAACCACGTTATCATCTTGCCTAACTCTAAGCAAAATCTGATTCATTTTATCTATAGAAAAATAACGATTCCGAAACTTAAATTTTGGTGCCAGTTTAAGCTAGCATTGATTTTTGATGGATTTATCGCGGGCCACTCTGACTCGTACCGTTTCTATTTGAAGTTTTGCTACCTCAGGTGATTAGGTACAAATGTATTGTCCTATGAAGGTTATCTAAATCAAAGAACTTTTTCAACTACTTTAGGGTACTGTATCTGGCAAAAGATCGACATCTCCCACTCTAATACGGGTGGAATAATTATTAGTAAACTGAAAAAACTGCATATTAATTCATAAATACACTTCCTCGTCTTTGACCTATGTTTTTCTTTCTTTCTTCCTCCACTCTTTCTCCTCGACTTCAGAGAAATTAGATTTGACAGACAAGACCCTAACTTAAAAGGTACGAACCACTTTGACAGACAATGAACAATCAATAGAAATACACTGATTGTCTGTACCATAGTATATTTAGTTATATCACTTATCTAGAGAAAATGCGGATCTTAAGCAAAATCTCACGAATACCAACATTTCGAATATGGTTGTACTTACCATCTATTAACTTGACATCGTCAAGTTCCCCAGAGGTTTGATGTCTCGACCACTGCCTTTCCTTATTCTTAGCCTGTAAATTACCCAAAATAACTCTTAGAGATTGCACTTGTCTGGCAACAGCACTTGAAAATTGGGAGTAGATTGAGTGATCATACTCACTCATTCCAATTTCCTTCAGTTTCTGCTGGAATGCCTTTCTGCCCATTTCGCGTGCAGCTCTTTGAATATGCTCCGGAACTGAAGCTTTTTCCTCATCTGACAACTAAAAATGTAAGAAAATATGGAGTACTGACTCTGTACTTCCCAAACTATCCTTCAAATAATTGTTGCGCTATTCAAGAACTGATTATTTTAATCACGCAATTCCAATAAGAATAATTTCAGGGCAATACATTAAACGAACAATAGCAATATACATCTTCATCAAAGAAAAAACTTGAGATCTCGGCTTCACATCCTTCCAAAATCCTAATTTTTGACTCTCTAACAAAAATTAGGGGCATGAAAGAGTTTTTTGACGCTAACTTGATAATAAAATGAAATACTTATTTGGCATCATTGTTATGCTGATTATCCAGTATGGTCACCGAGTGTGGGATTCAAAATGACTATAGTTTCTTTGATTAAATTACCTGATGAACTTTATGTCCCTTATCCAATCTATAGGGTCCCCCTTTTCCTCCCAAACCAGCCGTATCTCTACCTCCTGTACCTCCAGCCCAAGTATTTCCTCCAACATGGGGTTCATTTTTGGGGTCTTCTTTTCCATGTTTGGGACCTTTAGTATCCAAACTAAAATTTTAAAAGGCATGAAGCATAATCTTCTTAATTCTAAACTTTTTTGATTATGAGATAAAACTCTGGTCAAATAAAAATAAGCTATATACATATTTACAAAAGACTACGTTTTCGTTTTTATATCTTACCCGCTGTATCTGTTAACAGTAACTTGCACATCCTCTTTGGCCCTTTTTGCTGCTATGTACTCAGCACTAATGATATTTTTACTGGAAAATCCATGTCGTACTAAAACCTCTCCAAGTGTATCGATCATCTCAGGATTGTATCTATCAAAGTCGAACACGTTGAATATCACGTCTTCAATGTCCGACTCTGGGAATTTCTAAAAATCATCATGATACTTATCCAGAGAATCCGTAAATCAGGAATACAAAAAATGTTTAAGTTAACATAGACAATTTTTGAAACTTTCAAATCTCCTGCACTCTTAGTCCAGTAAAGTATATTTGCATCTCGTCCAGTAAGTATATTTGCATCTCTCTGGAAAAATATTCTGATTGTTTTTTTGTGCATAATCTGATCCAAAAAGGACCATATTTAATGAATCTGCATGAAGTCAGGCACAAAATTGTGTCAAATATGGTTTAAACATTTTTTAAAAAAATTAATATTTTCAATTCTATAAAGAAGTTTTTTTTAGATTATTTGTGTCATTCTGAACAAACAAATTTGATAGTGTATGAGATATAAGTGATTTAATAGTTGAAAAAGTGCGCAACATGTCATTTTCGACCCTGAATAATATTATGAAAAAACGAAAATTTTTATGTTGCCTAAATATTCTTTAAGCATCCATCAACAAACTGCCAAAGTATTTTATTGGGTACTGTTATTGTAAACCAAATCAAAATCCTCGAAAATTAGATTCTTAACAATTTCCGTAATTTCAATATGTCCGGAATTTCACAATATTCTCTTAGACAGTTCAAAAACAACCATCGACATTTGGACCTGTGAAAAAACGTAGGACGAGCAATGTTGCATACCTCCAAATGTTTGACGATATTTACAACTTCTCTAGTCGAGTACGGATAGTTGACTAATCCTTGATCAGCCATTCTCCTGAGATCCCCAAATATATCTACAAGCTTTTTAATCGTTTCTAAAGGCACACTTGGTCCATATCGCCTCAACAATAATATCTCAGATTCCCTCGTGGGATTATCCACAGAGTGGCTGCTGAATAAATCTCCTAAAGCACCGAAGAAGTCGTTCCCTAAAAATGGAAAACCGGGTCGATTTGCCAATACGATAATCCTGAAATCTGGATGCGTTTCTATGTAATTTTCATGGTTTTTATCTTTTGGTAGTTTGGGTACGATCCTCCGTCCATCGCTGAGTATCATTTGCCCAGATTCAACTAAGGTCTTGAGGATGCAAGTCACGTGAGTTGGTGCCTTGTCAGCCTCGTCTATCACAAGGACGTGGCCTAGTTTGATGGCTTTCACCAATGGTGAATCTTCGTGCACCAAAACACCATCTTTGACAGTTGGTTGAGTTGTTAAAGTCTGGACTGTTGTGTCACGGTGCAATTGGATGTATTCCCTAGGCCTGAGAAAAAAAATTATAAATATCTAATGGCTTCCAAAAGTTACCAATAAGCACAAAAACAATTCAAATTATAATTATTTATGAGTTTCGATTGATAATGCTTTTACCCACTTTTAGTCACACAAGAGTCATCTGGGAAGGAATATCCCGAGATGTAGAGACAATTTCTGTTGGAATGTTGCCATAAAGTTGTTAATAATGAAAATAATGGCATAATCTTATTTAGATACTCGTATGTAAAATTTGTATTCATCCACGCGTAAGGCAAGCATCGTTTGATTTGAAATAGCTTCAAGTTAATTATTACAATCTTGGATAGTGAGATCATACTTGCCTATTCATTAATTCAAGAAACCTATCCACAATCTTATTCTTCCCTACACCTTGATTCCCAACCAACAGTAGATGATAACCCAATTGGAAATCTTGAAGAAGCTTCTCCATCAACCTCAAATGCTGCGGAACGTCATAAAATAAAATATCCGGCACTTTAGTCAGATTTCCTCCTTGATACACAGGTATCGATGAATTGCCTATGGTCAGTATACCATCTTTAACACTACATTCTACAGGTTCGTCCTCTTTAATGTAGCTTGGAACTATGCCGACGTTAGTGATAGTCTTTTCTAAAGCTTGCTTCGTCAGAGAAGGTAAGAATTTTATCATGAATGTTTCCTGTAAGATCTCGAACGGAGATGTGTGGTACTTTTTCATTCGAGAGGCGATACGGAGTAGCTGTCTTGTAGATAAATGTCCAGCTAGATTTTGTAAAGACTGATCAGGGCTTGTACGGAGCATATGAGCTAAGTCTATTATTCTGTGTAAGTGCTTCGATATTGGCCCTACCTAAAAAATAATAAGTTGAAATTAAAGAACTGGAGTCAGACGATCCAAATACATAATCGATATATCAAAGCAGAAGTCAGTGTGTTTTATCAAACCAAGCTTCTATACTACGAGGGATGTCTTTTAAGTTTTGCATATGGAAATCAAACAACACGGTAGGTAGTTTTAAATGACTTTTTTGTTTTTCGAAGTATTCTCCACGAAGATTAATACACATCTGCATGCGCTCGAACCAATTTCCGAAGCACTTATTCCACTCGTTTGCTGGCAAATCCAAAACGGCATTTTTGAATGCGTCAACTGCTTCTTCTGGTGAATGGTGCCTTTGACCGCGCAGTCAGTTTCTAATTTTCGGGAAAGTAAAGAAATCGTTAGGACTTAGATCGGGAATATTTGGAGGATGGTCCAATAATTCCACGTTTTCTTCCGTTAAATACTGCCTTGTTTTTTGGGCTGTGTGCGAGCTTGCATTGTCGTGGTGGAGGATGATTCTTCTTTCGGGGTTGATTTTTCGAAGTAAAGGTGATGACTTTTGGCAAACAAATTTTGGTATACCAATCCGCAGTAACAGTTCTTTGCTCATTAAGAGGAAATGTTGCAATATGACCCGCTTTTGACACAAATGTCGCGACCATCTTTTTCGAAACACTTCGAGAACGGATGACTTTTGTTGGGTTTTCTTCACCTTGGAACACCCAAACAGCCGACTGTCGTTTATTTTCTGGTTCATAACAGTAAATCCACGATTCATCACTAACACTAACAATGCTGTACACATTTTTTGAGTTTCCGGAATTGAAACGGTCAAGCGTTTTTTGACACCAATTAACCCTGGTTGCTTTCTGCTCTTCAGTCAACAGGTGGAGTATCCAACGAGAAACTAATTTTCTTACTCCTAATTCTTCATGTAAATTTTTTTGAACTGAGGTCTTTGAGATCTTCAAGGACGCCTCAATCTCGCGATATGTCACATGTCTATCTTCAATGATGAGTTTGCGCACAGCATCGACGTTTTCCTGGGTGACTGCCGTTTTTGGTGCACCCACCCTGGGATCGTCGCTAAGACTCACCCGTCCACGTTTGAATTCTCCATACCATCGGGAAATTGTCGACTGATGTGGCGCTTCGTTGCCGAAAACAGACAGTAACTCAGCAAGGCATTCTTGTTGCGATAATTGTCTCTGAAAGTTGTAATAAATTATGGCGCGAAAACGTTCTCGGTTGAGTTCCATTTTTCTAATGACTTGGTGATACTTAAAAATTCACTGTAGTGAGAACACTGCACATATTGTTGTGAAACTTTGAATTTAAGTTTACTAAAGAGTGAGGTTAAGATTCTCTACTGACATTCGATCCGCGCAGCCTACTATGTTTGTATATGCAAAACTTAAAAGACATGCCTCTATACTATTTTTAATTTACTTTTGAACAAAACTGTTAAACTTCCTTATTCAATCATTTGCAGATGATACTCAATTAATGCATAGTTTCAATCCAAATGGGGTAGCAAGTACAACAAAAATGTTAAAAATTTGATACAGAGTGTTCTTCAAATCTCAATCTGAAAATAAATTCAAAAAATCCAAAATTTTGTTTTGTAATGAAAAAAAAGAAAAAATCTGCTTCATCTCACTTAAAGATTTTTATAAATAAATCAAGTTTTAAAGTTTACGGAGTCTGCAGAAATAGTTGGAGTAGTTTTTGTTACTAAAATGGGGTTTGTTAAACATGTACAGAGTCCGTTCAAAAAAATGTATCTCAGGTAACGTACTCTTATAGCAAATCGATATTTACTGAATTTTAAACTTTGTAAAAAACTATGCGAGAGTTTAGTCATATCTGTACTTGTGTGTACGGTTTATTTTTAGGTTACGAAAATTGGACCGTGTTTCAACGAATTACCAAATATTGAAGTGGATGAGATTTGAGAATTTAGTAAACTACCACTATTTAATTCTCCTACATAAGTTGTACATGTCAAAGCACTTAGAGAACAAATTGTTTTTAGTAAGGATGTGCACACTAGACCTTTAAGACAACATTATAAGTTCCACCTAACCACACAATATTATTCGTTTCTCGTATAACTTAGCTGCCAGGTACAATTCATTACCTGAAGTGTATAAGAGATATTCTAAATACGTACAAAAAATTCGAGACGTCATGTCGGGGCGTTGTGGAGGAGTGGTTCCTCTCCCTGTGCAATCCCCTCTATGCTCAGTTCGAACCGGAGCGCTCTGCGAGTAAGTAGAATTTACGCGTGCTTGTTGAAAGTAACCCTTTTATTACCTGCCGTCGACATGGAGCTCTCTCTAATCGAGGAACAGCGCAGCAACACCAAGTTTCTTGCAAAGCTAGGCAAGAATGTTCGTGAGATTTTTGAGTATTTGGAACAAGTTTATTATTCTGTGAAGGAACCAACCATCTACAAGTGGTTGAAAAGGTTTCAGAAGTGCCGAGAACATGTGAAAGAAGACCAACGCTCAGGACGCCCCTCCACATCGAGCTCTGAGGGAAATGTCGAACGAATTCCGGGTTGTGTTCTTAAAGATCGTCCACGAAATTCTGACAGAAAAAATTGTGTGTGAAAATCGTTCCGAAGCTCTTGACTCCAGAACAGAAAGCAAGGAGGGTTGCTTGCTGTGAGGATTGGTTGTAAGCAGAGGAAAGGAGGGACTTTCTCAACCGGGTCATCATTGGAGACGAGTGAGTCTTGCTTCTACGAATACGATGTGGAGCTGAAATCTCAAAGGATGGAGTGGAAGCAAGCAGGGGTACAGAGAACCGAAAGGTCGAAAAAAATCAAGGATCAATGTGAAAACAATGTTGATTGTTTTCTTTCTCGGGGCATTGATCACCAGGAATTTATCCCTCCCGACCGGAAAGTGAACGGAAATTTCTACATTGAAGTTTTGCGTCGTCTCAGAGCTCGTGTGGTCCGAGTTCGACCGGATTTGGTATAAGGGGACAGGTGGATCCTTCATCACGACAACGCGCCTGCTCACACGTCTATCGTTGTGCGTGAGTATTTTGCCCGAGGCTCAATCACCGTAACAGAACACACGCCTTATTCGCCTGATTTAGCCCCTTTCGACTTCTTCCTGTTCCCAAAATGCAAAATGGTGCTTCGGGGGCGGCACTTAGGGGATGTGGAAGCCGTCAAGGCAGAAACGACACGGCAAATGAAGAGAGCCTCACATTTGAAGACTTTCAGATTGAAACAACAGTGGAAACGGCGTTGGCAAAAGTGCATCTTGTCGCAAGGGGAGTACTTTGACGGAGACCATATTGAAATACCCGAACAATTGTAAAAAAAAGTTATTATTCCACTTTTATACGTATTTCTCGACAAACCTCGTATGATCACTATCCACCTAATTTTACCATTTCTATATACCTATATGATGTATTATAATTCTTGATTTACTTATTTAAAAAAAGTTATTATTCCACTTTTATACGTATTTCTCGACAAACCTCGTATGTTCACTATCGACCTAATTTTACCATTTCTATATACCTATATGATGTATTATAATTCTTGATTTACTTATTTTCTGATCTCATTTTGTCTGTTTTTTAGATAAGACATACATTTCTTTATTGTGTTACCAATCGATAACCGATTGGTTAAGTGTAAGAGTAGCGAATGCTAAACTTCGCCAATCATTGTTATTAAATAAAGACGACTATTACAATTATTATCATTATATACAAAGTTACGCTAGACAGATATTGTATGTAATCAACAACATCAAGTTACCTTTGATGATATAATATGCATTTCTTCAGGTTTGCTCAAAGTCCTCATCTCATGGAACACAAAAAGGCTCAGAACCTCTGGAGATAGCCAATTCCCTGTTGATGACTGTAGATTAGGTGGTTCACCTATAGCAATTATTCTAAAGTCAGGATGAATTTTGAGAACGCCACTTTCAGTCAACTGTTCTTCAGTTAAGTTATAGTGTTCTTGTAGTAAATTGTATCTTTCGCTACTGATGATTCTTTTGCCATCATATAGTTGAAGTTCTCGGTCATGGACTAACCTGAAACGTAACAACATTTTTTGTCATTTCTTAAGCAGTTTCTTATAAATAAGTTTATTTAAATTTACTAACCTGTGTAATACTGTCAATGTACTTGGATGTATCCTGTTAATGCCATCAAGTACAGCGATTTTTCCTTCAAGTGCAGCAATTACAAGTGGTGAAAACTGCCATACAGTGTCGCCATTGTCTAATGTTGTCCGATGTTGTAATAGATCTCTTGACGTCATATCTTGATACAAAACTATATTTTCAGTTTCCCGACCTAATATTTCGGCTACTTTGTTAACCAACATACTCTTTCCTACAAAAACAGTTACCATATTATTTGCGAATCATAAAAAATGTCATCTAGGTACTAAATAGCTTTTACATACCACAACCACTAGTTCCTATAACACAGAAATCAGCAACCTTAGCAGTTTGCAACATATCTTCAAGAAGCTTATTCTGATAACTCGTTTCTACGTAGGGTGAATTGCTTTGTTCTGGTTTAGATTTCAGAAATTCACTAATTTTCTCTGTGATAGAACACTTATCATTTTCTGCAGGGTGTACGTTGAACTTTTGTAACATGGTTTCTAAGTTTGGGATCCCGTCTTTGAGAAATATTTTATATGGATATAAGCGGTATAGTACCTCATATGCTGTGAGACGAGGATTTTGTTCCTGGAAAATAATACAGACCGTATCATATTGATAGAGAATATTTCTCGTAGTTTGTAACAAAAAATTCTCCATTTCGTATACTTACGAGAATTAAAGCTGCAACAGGAAGGTTATCCAAAGGGAAATCTGGATACCCCAAAGAAGAACTCTCTTTACTAGTAAGCGCGAACGCTGAAGATATTATTTGTTCCAAAGTATCCCTAGGTGCTGTAGGAGCTAAACTGCATAGATCTTGGTAGAGTTCCTATAAAAATATTGTCATTGCAATATATCAAAGGCAGCCTATGACATTCTTAACAGCTGCTGACAGACGCTATAAAGACAATCGGAGCATTTTAACTTCCAGAAATACGTTGACAGGGCACATTAAAACATGAAACTTATTATATCCTAGTCAAACGATTAATTCAAAAGTGAATCAAAATGATTACAAATATTATATCTTTGAAATTATGATGAATAGTAAAGCACTATAATACCAACTATTAACACTCAAATCAAGTCGTATTTATATAGATGTCAATCTAATCCAGTCTACACGCAAATCCACCATGAAATCAATTTGATAATTAGGGGATTGAGGCGTTAAGGGAAGCTACAATGCAGTAAGTTTAGTGAGGCCAATGAACCTTAAATTCGGCTCATTCAAGAAAGTTACATTGTTGCGATTTGGTACATTGAAACTTCTACATGTTCTTAAAGAAACTATACTCAGTGACATTAAAAGTGTTACACCCAGAAAAAGTAATTTTTTCAACTTGATTTTTTGGCAATGAGGTACTCTTACATCAAGAATGAAACGATAACATTCTCACGAAATTTTATTGAGAAGTAATAAGAAAAAAGTTAATGTGTTGGGTGACCCCGCAGCTGAATACGTTTAGGCATCAACAAAATGAGATGATCGATGTCTGAGTGTGGCATCTCAATCCAAGCAACTCGAACTTTGTGGATTATCTGTGGCAGAGTCTGTGGCGGATTGTGTAAAGTGGATAGTCTCCTCCCCATCATATGTTCGATGGGATTTAAACCCGGTGAACGGGGTGACCACGGTATTAACGCCTGTTTCTTGAAGAACGTCCGTAGTATCACGAGCAATATGCGATGTCTTGCTGAAAAAGGACATGTGGACGGCCCTCTAGATATGGCAGTAAAGTGGTTTGTAGGACATCATCAGCATATCACGCAAGTCATATTGCCTTGAACAAAGAGAAGAGGTGTTCGGCTACCATAGGCAATAGGCTCCCAAATCATCATTCCACCAGTCCTGTGTACATGACATTATGCTATCCTGCCTCATAATGTTGCCGTTCTCTGCTCCAGTTCAAACGTTGACGACAGTGGTCCGCAGTCAGAGGATGCCCTAACCGTGGACGGTATGAAAAAAGTCCAAAGGCTCGAATGCGGTGATAGAGTGTACACATAGTAAAAGATCTACCTTCTTCTCCAAACCACTGGTCAGCGATCTGACGCGTAATGGCAAAACGGTCTCGTAGGGCTAGTTGTCTGAAGCGCCTATCTTGACGCTCTGTAGTACGCCTCGGTGGACCAGTTAGCCTTTCTCGTGTTCCTCTACCTTCTATCCACACACGACACACGCGCATTACAGTCATTGCAGTACAGTTAACACGGCGGTCAATTTCGCGATAGGGCAAACCAACATCTCGATAGGCAGTAATCCTACCCCTGTCTAAGACGCTAACATGCTGATAATTTGGACGTCTCTGAACTCGAGGCATTTTGTTATACTAGTAAATGAAAGGACAATAACTAAAAATATCTGTACTACTCAGCTCTCAGAAACTTCATTCTCCACAAAAACTAAGAGTTAACATGTTAACAAAGGTAAACAAAAACAAAGATAAAACGTTGACATTTTTGCCACAGCATGCTTTAAATATAGTCATTATGTTGCCAAAAAACAAGTTGAAGAAATTATTTTTTTTGGGCCCTAATGTCACTGAGTATACTATATATACAAAAATATCAACTCAACCCCAAATCACTTGCTCAAATGTGGATCTTTCGTTGTGAAAAAAAAAACTTACTTCTCGATCACTCATATTACGAATATTGTAACTAAAACATGTTTGTGTGTGAAAAAAAACGCTTCACACGGATGTTTCTAGTACTTATTTTTTTGAAGATGATTCTCATTTATAAATGCCGAGGTTGCAGTTCTAAACTGAAAAGACATTGTCCGAAAAAGACTAAAAAACAAGGTACTTAAAAATATTGAGCCGTCAGTGTTGATATTGCATCCAAAAAATGATTTGAAGAAACATTGAGAAGTAAAGCCCGATATCCAGAAACTAAAAGAGTTGAAAATTTCAATGATTTATATAGATTATGAAAAATGTAAGGGAAGAACAGATAAAAACGAAATTTTACTTTTTTCCCACGCAAACTCGGCTCAGCGACAACTGAAATTACGATGATAAAAAGACAACAGATACGTAGAATAAATGTACGAAAATTAGAGACAAGGCTTTTCGCGATGACAATAGTTTCTACGCCTAGTAAGTGAAACATAAACCGCGTACACTGCCCTTATTTTCCCTGCCTACAACCCCTGCAGCTTACAACCCGGAACAAAAATCGTTGGTGTCGATTTTAATCGCAGTTAATGTCTTACTTCATTCCAATTTAGTGGCCTGCCGCTATTCAATGCCCGTCAGTTCTGTAAAAGCAATTCACACAGCGGAAAATCTTTCAACGAATCGAATCCAAATTGCCGGAACTCATGCGATCGGAAAATCATTTTTGATACTGTTTCTTCAGCTGTGTATTTTTAGAAGTAAATTAAAACTTCCACCCTGCTATAATCTTTTCTTTTCAATCAAGATAGGACCGTTTTTACCTTGAATCATACGACTTTCGGAAAAATTGACATAATTTAAGGATTTTTTTAAATGAGTTAACAAACTTCTTAAATTTTGACAAGCTTATTGAGAAACAAAGTCACATATGAATACGTTTCTCGAATTGATGATTCCATACAAAAACGAATGATTACCTTATTCTACCTGAAGATATAATATACCATATTTCGACAACGAAAATGGGATCTGAAAGATTTTAGCGCCATCTATGCTACATTAGCAGGACACGACAATGAATTTAGAAACATATTTTGAAAAGGTGTTTGATTCTGCTACTATCTCATAGATGGCGCTAGGGTCTTAGAGATTATTTTGGCGTCCCACGAATGCCTATTTTAAATGGATATATTCAGGCATTAATTAACGTATTCCACCTGAAGATACCCAGTTAAAGTAGGTCAAAAGGGATTGAAGATTCTAGCGGCATCTAGGAGGCAGTAGTCGAATCAAACACCAACTCTTTTTGAAGTGGATTTCTACATTAATTTGTCATCTACTACTGTCTTACAGACGGCGCTATAATCTTTTAGATCATTTTTTGGGCGCCAAAATGCGGCATATGGTTGGCTATCTTCGGATAGAATACGTCAATCTATAGAAAAATATTAAAAATTTTGTTTGAGCGCACAAATAGTTTAAAAACGACAAAAAACAAGGTTTGAGAATATTTATATTGACCCCATCAAGATGACGAGTGGAAGCAATATATTTTTTTGTTTTCTTCATTTTACCACCACCACTGCGACAATTTTCAATATTACGTTACATTATCAATTATAATCTACAGCATCCTGCCCCACAAGTTTGATCGAAATCAGTAGTCAGTCCCGAGATTAATTTTCGGTTAATCACGAAACATCAAAAAATATTGTTATTCGAAATCATGAAAAATTTTGTAATTACAAACTATCGAGAGAAGCAAAAAAGGCGTCAAACTTGATTCGAAGATAGTGATTATTTAGATTACCATCCTGTTGAGTTATGAGGGCAGTCATCTTAAACACTGTACAGGGTAGGGTGGGTACAATTGACGTGACGAATTCGTGCCAAGTTCAATGTTATTTAAAATTGGTTCTCAACTGTTACATTATTTGATGCTTTGTATAAAGCTATCTGTGATACATGTAAAACTTTTCATATTTACTCAAAGTCATGCGATCTCCAAATAGAACTTTCAAATATACTTTCGCCGTCGAAGACAGCTGTTATTAATAGTTATCTTTCATCAAAGTCTGAGCTGCTAAGTTTAACTTCGCCAACATGAAAACTCAACAAATGAGGTTTTCGTGTGAAAACTTATGTAAAAACAGATCCACTGGCTCCCCTAATGGGGGCTGTGCCAGGGGAATGTGTTAAAAATTGAAAAACACGATGTCACGCGAGCACCAAACAAAGCTTTCAATTACTACTCATTGAACAATTTTGGAAAAAATACGATTGTCTTGCATTTGATTGTACCTATTCGTGTTTCCACCATGTGGAGCAATTTTAAAAAGTAGGTTAGAGTCGTCGGGAATGACAAAGTTCAGCTGTGTATATGATTAATAGGTCGTGGAAAAATGCTAACAATATATTCGTTCTTTCCTTACAATGCTGAACATGACAATAGGGAAGATTTCACTTTCCGACGTAACGTAGTCACTGTAGGTGGGTCACATATTCAACATGGTAAGGTAGGTATTCAAGTAGATTCAAGAAACAGTGCTCCTAGCCTAGCACTTTTAAAACAACGGTATAACAAAAAAATAAAATTTACCAAAATCATAGTACCACCTTCAAAATGGAAATGAAAAAAAAATGGCGGAACGTATACTTTCTATACATGATGTGTTTTCTAATTGAATGTCAATATTTAAGAGGGCGATTTTTGGGTCCACTTTAAACATATTCTAAATATCTTAACTTTTGAGATACGGGGAGGTAAAGTATAAAAAAAATAGTGTCACGTCACTGACTTTTCTTAAGATGAAAAATTAAAATATGTGTTGATTTATGGGCAGATTTGATCTCTTGTATTTTTTTAGTCCGACGCACGGTGTTCACCTGAAAGTATAAAATCTATTTCTCTGCATGGCGATACTGTCATATTAGTGATAAAAAATCCTGTGGCTCCTCAGCCTCCTTATTCGCCTGACTTGAGTCATGGTGACTTTTTTCTTTTCCCGAAGTTGAATGATCACCTCAAGGGAACTCAGTTTGGGACAGTCGAAAACATTCAAACGTCTGTAACCGACAAGATGAAGGCTATTTCAGTATCGGAGTTCCAACTCTGCTATGAGGAGTGGAAGAACCGTCTCCAGCACTGTGTGGCTTCAGAAGGATGTTATTTTGAGGGTGACAATATAAAATTGTAATTATATTT